CACCAAGATACGGCAAGCGAACGACGGCGAGTGGTATGCAGCTCACTATCGGCAACTGCTCCGGCGTCATGTCGTCCTTCATCTAGTGAGTCCCCTTCCCTTCTTAGACACATCGCACCACACAGTCCCCACCTTCACATCAACACAGCTGACAGGAGAACCCTCCGCAGCCAAGCTGTCGATAAGCCGCGCTATATCCGCGGTCACGCCGTGACGCTGAGCATGGTCGGCATGGCAACATGCATGTACGGCTTTATGTGGTTCTGGTACTCGAGGGAGAACAAGCAACGGCAGGGCGGTCGTATAGAAAACAAGTACGCCGACCTCTCTGATGACGAGCTGGCGGAGCTGGGCGATGAGAGCCCGCGGTTCCGGTACACTATTTGAGGTAATGCCTGGAGGTGTCAATTGAAGAACGGTTTGAAAGAGACGAGGAGAGGATACATAGAACAAACCCAAGGCGGTGAAGAGACGCCGGATCAGAATCAGTGGAGGATGCCACAATAGATACCCCATTAAAGAGAAGAGAGTACTCCATCTTGGTGTACAGAAGCGTTTGGTAGCTGCCGCAGCATCTTGTGCCGTATATACATACACCTTTATTTGGCCAAATTCTGGCCCAAAAGCAGAAAGAAGTCGAAATCATTGGCCAATTGTCGTTATATAGCTTTTCTACAGTCAAAAAAACGACAAAATGAAAGGGACGAGACTCGAACTCGCGCGGGTTGCCCCACCAGGAAACAGATGTTAAGCTGACCTTAACCTGGCGCCATAACCAACTCGGCCACCCTTCCTATTGGTTGGACATTCAGGTGGACAATAGTGTATTGAAGGTATCACTCGAATCGCAGTGCGTCGTCAGCCCAATAACTGATCTCCAGTTGACGACTTCCTATATGTGTAAACGTAAGTAAATCAAAGTTTCTCGGCTATGTTCCTAAGCTACCTTCCATGATCCAGCTTGTCAAGGTGTCTCATCTTATCACAGCCATCATCAAAGAATGGCGCAGCAAATGATATAGCCTGGTCGACAAGCACCTCCGAGGCGCTCCGCACCATAATCTGGAGGATCAAGTCTGCATTGGCTAAGTCAATCTCGAATACCCGAATGTGGTTCGCATGCGGAACTCCAACGGTCAAATACTCGTCACTTCGTTCTTCTACCAGCATCATCCTACCTAGAGTAGGGGCACAGAAAACACGACACGCATGCACCGCCGACTCAACACACTACGTTCGCACCGTTTCTCTCAGCCCGAGCAGCTCGGCTCCGTACCGAATCGCGGGGCCGCGCCGCCGCAGGGCCGCAGCACACTCTTGACACTTTTTTGTCAAACTGCTGCCTAGAAATTGGCACCTCTTGGAGAGTGACCTGGGGCTAATTACCAAACGTCATGCCAACGCTGCTCCGCCTCCTCGGCCCACATCCGACATAACCAAGAGCTGTCTTTCTCTCGGATTGTGTTAGCAGTGACACCGCCGCACACAGGTGCATTGAATAGTGGGATGGATTGGTAAGGGGAAGCAGTTGAGCCGCCCGGTCAAGATGGGTTTATCGCCCGGCTTCCGTTGGTGTCTTGGCTCTGATGTCTTTCTAGACGACGGATGGGGCGAGCCTCGTATAGCCCGAAGTAGCCTAGCTGCATTACAGACTCTGAGTTCCAGCCTCAAGTTGCTATTGATCTTCATCACCAAGACTTTGCTTGCTACAAAATTATTGGCGTGGCGCGAGGACATCCCGTTATGGGTCCTGCCGGATTCCGGATCGTACCTCTGGGCAGCCAACCAGTGGTAACTACCATAAGTCATACATCAAATTCTTTTGACCAAGCCCCTTGTTGGCTGCCAGGGTCATATTCCTATTCTCCCATCGTGTATGCCTGTTGTTCTCTCCTGAATCATGGCTGTAAAACCCTGCTAGGCTGCTCAACCAGATCCAAGCATCTTTCCCGCTTCTACACTCTTTCTCGGACTATGTAGCAATTTGATGCTGCAAAGCTGATTGTTCCTGCTTCCTTCACCACAACTATCCATCTTTGGGAGTAACTGTATTTTTCAGTCTGCTTGGAACAACAGATAAGATTGTTCCCATGTTCCAATGGGAGCCTATCGAGGAGTTCGGCTCCGTCACGGGACCTGCGGGAGCTGCTGCGATCTATACCGTTGTGACCCAGCATCTTTCTTCCAACGCCGCTGAGCTATGGTCTGAGCTACTTTGTTGGCTTCTGCTGCCAATACTCTTTCGAAGTGCCCGCCAAATCCCATGCAGTCCGGGAGACAGCAAGGGCTCGAAGAAAAGCCTCCCGTCTCCTGTCCTTCGAAGTCCCGGTTTGGAGGCTGCAGTAGGCTCCGTATCTCTCTGGGCAGTCGCTTTTGCCATCGCTGTGATCTCGATGTACAGAGCAGAGTACAAGCACGTCGTAGTGTTTCTAGTGAGTATTACTTCTATAATCATGATTTTGCTTTACACATCCCTCCTTCTGACCAACGGAATTTCCAGCCGATTCTATCCCCGCTCCTTTTGCTTGTTCACAATGCTTTCTCGCGATCCGACCCCCCATCACTCGATAACACACCGTTGAAACAACCGAAACTACAAATCTTTCTTTTCGATAGATTACCTGGAGCATTATTGATCGGACTCTTTGCGGTCTTCACACTATCTGGCTGGGATCTTGGGGCATCTGCCCTCGCGGTGATACCAGCTATCGCGATGCTCGTCATCTACGCCTCCTTCGAGCATGCTAGCGCAGTAAACCATATACGTTTCTTTCCAAGAGTACATCTTCGGGATTCGATCACTACATTGGCTCCTCGGGTTGTGGTTTTGCTCGTAGCGTGCTTGATATTGGACGCCAGCATTTTCGACTTCACGACATGGACGACCAACATTCCGAGCACAGTGTTCTTAGGCATTGCAAAGGCTTTGGCATGGTATTTCACGGCAAGAACTGTAATTTAATTCTTTTGATCTACCCTGTGATCTCTAAGACTGACACACTTTCATTAGGCCGAATGCGCTTCTTGGCGCATTGCACCAGCGATAGGGATTTTTGGGATCGCCGCAACCCTTGATCCCTTTTCACAAGCCTCAGAGTTCCAAGCAATCTCACATGTGGCAGTGTCGACATTGGCTCTGTGTAATATGGTATACTTGATATCCAAGTCATCGAAGACGAAGAGAGTTCCAACACTATGGTTATTAGCTACTGCTTCTCTTGGTCCTTACATTATTAATCTTTTCGTTGCCAGAGATGCAGTCTCTACAGCTCAAACGTTTGCTGGTCATTCCGATAAACATCCTGTGGAGATTCTTAGCCGAGAAGCAGACATCGGATTTCAACACCTGCTGAGAACACAATCCGCCAACTACACGGCAGCCCATGTCGAATACGTACGTCGATATGGGACAGAGCCACCTCCAGGCTTTGAAGGATGGTTTGACTTTGCAATAGCGAACCGGTCTCCCATTATCGACGATTTTGATATGATATTTGATTCTGTATCGCCTTTGCTCAAGATGAGCGGTGAACAAGTTAATCAAGTGATGCGCACGGCGTACGAAGCGTCGGGAAGTGACCTTTGGCTTTGCTCCTTTTCGTCTGCACGAGGCACAACCCAATGCCAACACGCATATCGTACTTTCGACCGGAATATTGCGTCTTCATTCAACAAGTTGTTCAAGGGCTTAGAGCATAACAAGATCCCGGATTTGAAGTTTCTCGTGAATCACCTCGACGAGCCTCGAGTTCTCCTCCCCTTGCAGTTTGCAGGAGATGTTAGTGGACAGCTTTCAATCACCTACGGGCATTTCAATCTGAAAAATATGTCGGGACGACCAGTCGGCAAAGAAATCACGAAAAACTGTTTACACCATGAACAATTCGCATCAAGACACACGAGAAACTCGACCATCGAATCCTGTGGCCTTCCGTTTGTGTCAGACCCATCAATGGCTGCGGATCTGTGCCAACATCCCCAGCATACCTTCCTTCATGGTCTCATTGCGAGACCAAAGTCGTTCCGTTTGATCGAGGGACTAGTGCCTATCCTATCCACAGGGGCTCTCTCCTCAATGGGAGATATCGTATACCCGAGCCCGGCATATTTGGAGGATGAGTTTCAGTATGCCGATGACAAAGATATAGATTGGGAGAAAAAGCGCAACAACGTCTATTGGACTGGATCTAACACTGGTGGCTTTGCTACAGATGGCACTTGGAGAAATTATCACCGCCAGAGATTCGTAGCCTTGGCACAGTACCTGCAACAGCCCGAAAAACAGCACCACGCCTACCTCAGACTCGTTGACGGCGTGGTCGAGCGTGTGACCTCAAGCTTCTTGAACAGTCGCTTATACGACGTTGCTTTCACAAGGTTATTCCAGTGCCGGAGGACACAGTGCAGAGACCAACACTCGTACTTCAATGTGCGGTCTTGGGTGGACAAGAATGAAGCGTTTCGCTCGCGGCTTGTCTTCGACCTCGACGGAAACGGCATCAGCGGGCGTTATCACAAGTTCTTAGCATCAAAGTCCACGCCACTGAAACAGACTCTTCTTCGCGAGTGGCACGACGAACGTCTCGTTCCTTGGATACATTATGTGCCCGTTAGTCTGAGCATGGAGGAGCTACCTGAGCTTGTTTCATATTTGACTACAACTGATAATGGGCAGCAACGAGCAAGAAACATTGCGATGCAGGGGAGAGAGTGGCATTCCAAGTCCTTGCGTGCGGTGGACTTTGCAATTTACAGCTACAGGCTTTTGTTGGAACTAGCGCGGCTACAAGATCCCAAGCGGAAGCAATCATGAGGCCGTGATTATTAGAAACTCCTTCATGCAATGAATTAACAACATAGGACACCTCAAACCTAGTCCTCTCACGATAATGAAGCAGCGAAACATGGCTTGATCGAAACATGCTGGACTGTCGAATGAGTGACAACTATCCATAATTAAGTAGAGTCCAACGCTGCCGCCCTCCATCAAAGATTCAACCGTATTCGCTCCAAAACTTGCAGGCATACACAGACCAAACTATCAAATGCACAATGGCGACCCAAGATGACCGCCATCGTAAATTCGAATCACTCACCACCTCAAAAGCACGGCAAACCAGATCGGTATTCCACACTCCACAGCGGGCCGCTGTGCATTCATTCGTCCACGTGTCTCGCTCGGTACTCTTCAGGCTGTGATAGGAGGTTAGATAAGCAATCATGCATCGGGACATGGAATCTTGACAAGAAATCACTGACCGCTAGTTCCACAAACCCAGTCCATGGGACCGTATGCTCCGAAATTGACCGCCCCGTTCACGTGATGCTCGTCATGGGCCTCGTCTCCCCAAACAAGCTTAACTTGCTCTCCCGTTGCAGAAATGAAGGAGAAGGCCAAAGTTGTAGCGAGCTTCATGTCCAAGAACCTTGCCACGGATACTATCGGAAATGCGTACAACCAGAAAAAGTCTGCAACGGACATGTAGCTGATGGTGAAAACGTGGTGGTCGCCCGGGTTCTTGATCTCATGGTGCTTCGCGTGCACTCGATATAGTCCAGGGATGTGCAGCACTCGATGAACGATCCAGAATACAGCATCCCGTAACACAAGACCCATCACCAGCTGTGATATGAACTCGGTCCACGACGGCAGCTGGTACTTCTTGGGATATCCTTGTGACAAGACCGAGTGTCCACCCATGCAAGTTGCTATGACGAAGTGGAGGGAATTCAGAATGAGGTGGTTCATAAGGCTCTTCTTCAGGACTTCACGAGATGTTGCGGTGACGTAGGCAGGCCGCATCTTTTCCATGATCATCCCGCAAGCGAAATATCCCACTTGAACGCCGAGGCTGCCGAGAACCTCAACGTAAGCAGGTGGACATCGTTCCAGAAAGTCGTTCATTGTCGCAGTGGGCATATAGTTTCGATTCGGGAGGTGTCGGGATTTCAGGAGCAAAGATATTCCACTAACATGATTAATTAAAAAGTTTGAGAGGCAGGGTGACTTGAGCTTAAATATTTCTGGCTGGGCAGGGTTTGGTAGTCGAGCTCCCTCGACGAAGAACTTCGCTCCGCTTTTACCCCTCCAAACTAGCCCTATCATGCCCGGAAACTAGAATTGGTGTCCATCTCGTGGTGTTGAGTCTGCAACGTCTCCCGTTCGCACTAGCCCGATATGAGTGATAAGTCCGGTCTCCCGCTCACTAGTAACTTGTGCGTCAATTTGTCAACGATGATGTTTGCCGAAACAATGCAATCCATCTCATGGATCAAAGCCGTTCTGGTTGCCATATTTCCTCATCTCACCAACACGACTGGCCCAGCATACCAGGCTGGCTAGGTATGTCGTCCACTGTGAGCTTTTGAGTGTGTATGTCAAATTCGTCGTGGTCATGTTTGCTAGAGTGGCGTCGATGTTTGCCCGGTTGTCGGGATCCAACTAATCACCACAGACGTGGCACACTATAATAATTACCAATCAGTCAGACAATACATCATAGTGGAAGTCTTATCCCTTCTGAAGACTGGTTTCAGGGTTGGCAAATGATTTTCTTGGGTGGTAACTGGGAAGTGGCGGAGAATTGGGAGGCGTAGTCGGGTTGACCTATACTCCTGAACTAACGGTACTGGCGTCAACCGATTGATCTACATCTCGAGTAGTTGACAATATGAGCGATGTTTGCCTCCACCGTTCTTCAACTGAATGTTGCTTAAAGACAACAAGAAACAGGGATCCAAGATGGCAAATGCCGAGACAGAAGCAACTACTAATTCTTGGCAACATGGGAGATTGGATTAACTCCTGCTGAGAGTAAATGACATATGTATGATAACAGAAGAGAGAGGGAGATATTGCGCACTCTGCATTAGAAGACACTAGTGAGTGCAGCTCCATAATCCGTGTAAGACGAGTCCATCTTTTCGATGTCGTAGTCGTTCCAGTACCCACCGCCCGCCACGGCGTATTGCGAGAACCAGCTTGCGAATCGTTGCTGGGCTTGAGCCGCAGTCGTTCCCTGAGACGGCTTTGCGTCATTGACCACCCACACAAGAGGGATCACCTTTATGCCGAGGGTCGTCTGCCACGTTCCAGGATTGTTGCCAGCTCCGCCATCGTAGACTTGAAGGTACACCCTATCGAACAGACCAGGGTTTGCGGATTCAACTTGTGTTCTGACGTTCGCCCAGAAGCCACTGTTGGTGTATGGCGCAATGGAATACTTGTACCCCATCTTCCCGAGCATCTGGGCAAAATTGACTGTGCTTGCCACGTCATAGACACCCTCATCGTCGTTGTTGAATGCGTCAAGATCCCACTCTACCTTCAGTACCTCAAAGTTCTTGTACAACTTTGTGTCAGACCCTGTCCCGTCTGCGTTGATCAAGTCGCGGATGATCTGGAATGTCGTGTCATGTGACACCAGCGAGATCTCCACCCTGTTGATGTTGGTTGTGCCCGTCTTGAAGGACTTGACCTTGTCCGCCAACGCGGTCCCACCAACATATGAGCCATTCGTCACTACGGGCGCGTCGACTGCCTCGCCCGCATCTCCGGTTGAATAGTAAACGAGATCGCCATTATCGAGGAGACCGATGCGGAATATGAGGAGGGTGTCGAAGCCGGAGGTCTTGAGAGCTGTGGTGTTCGACTGCAGAACATCCTTGAAGAGGAAAATACTCTTCACGCCGGCGGCTGCTGCGGCATTGGCAAAGAGTGACAATAGCACCCAAGTCAGGGTACAAAGACCGGTTCCCTTGGAGACTCCCATCGTTGCGCGCGGGATGACCTGGTCTTCCTGAAGAAGCTGTGCAAATGTTAGTTTCAACCGAGCTGCTCACGTGTGAGACGACAGGATGCAGTCTTTATGGACAGCGTCAGTCCATAGAAAGAATGCAAGCAATAGCTTCTTGAGTTGCGGACGTAACGTAACAAATGCAATGACAGGACGAACCAGGGCCAAAAGAGTCTATTGCGACTCTGTGGATCGTCTTGATTGGCCAATGCCCCACTGCCCATGCATATCACTTCGCTCGGACTTGCTGAGGTTATCGCGCCGAGGGGTTGTGATCCGGCCGAGATAACCTGGTCCTGAACTCCCAAGTCTCCTTTTAGGCTTTCTGCAACCCCGAATGCGACCTGATCCTTAAAATGCTACGATCTGTAAGCGCTGGTTGAATGCCTTTGGGAAATTGTTGTAAGCATAAGGCAGATCGTCTTGGCTTCCCCGCTTAACATCTGCCACCTGCCTAGAACAGTTCCCGGTGCCGAAAGTCAGAATGGCTACCCCTCTCTGATGCGAGGTCCTATTGAAATCAGAACTGATCAATTATTGAAAGGAACTGCTGTAAATGATAGGGGAAGACAAGCTCTTTGAAAACCATAATTATCCTGCGTGGCCACGAAGTTGTCTGAATGTTAATTACTGCTTGAGATGTCTCCTTTTTCATGCCATGTCGACTCCCATTTCACATCCGCAATCTTGAGCATCGTAATTAGGTAGCACAAATTACTGAGGGGAGGCTACTCGAGAAATCATATTGCAGGCCAATACTCCCGTGCAGGAGAGAGTGCCTGTGGCAGATATCAAAGCTCCGAATTCTCTCGAAAAACAGAGGCTATCTAGTTGCGTTAGATCGTTGGTGATATAGATGGATAGATGTCTCACAGAGGAGCATACCACTTTCTTCCAAGTTGAACACGGAGCAGTCCACCATCCCATCGTTTCATTTCATCTAGACCGAGGCAACAATCAGTAAGACACAGAGAAAACTGACTCTCATCTCCTTCCCTCTCAGCCTGATTCATCAGCCTGATTCATCAGCCTGAATTCTTCTCTCGTATTGGGGAACAGCAATCTTGGCTGTGAAAGACGAGTAATCAACAAACGGCCAATTGGGAGGTTGATCAATAGGCGTCCACATCGGGACGAAAAAGATCCAGTACTTCGCACCTAGCATGGCGAGGTCGACGGTAAAACGTCTCGCAGCGCATGTATAATGCGCCGCAGTCGGTGAGGGCATCCAGTCAATCTCGCTGAGATCGTAACCTCCAGCAGAGAACAGCACTGGTGACCCGGCCTCGGCCACCTCCGAGCCGTAGTCCATGAGGTATAGCTTAGCTGAAAGAAGCCCACACAAAGTGCGTTCCAGGAGGCGGATAAAGCAAGCCCGGGGACCTGGTTTACTCTTCATAGAGTTGATGTCCTCGGCGGGCTCGATGTCCCAGTCGTCGGTGAATTCGAATGCAATATGCAAGGATTGGGAGCTATCATTTTGGAAGAAAGGGCGGAGGGCGGATAATGCCGCTCCAACGGAAACGTGTGCGTCGGGTGCAACTTGCAAGATGATGAGATCTTTGTCTGGAAGAATACTTGATCCAGAAGTGCTTCGTGCAGCTTGATTGTGTTTTGTAGAAGAGCTGCGGCCACTGGAAGGGTTCACCAGCCTTGCAAAATGTTTTTGAACTACGTCTCTGGACTCCCTACAGGCGGACCAAAGGCCGGCATCTACGCGGTACGTCGAAGGGTCTGAATCAAACCACGAACACGGCCCTTTTTGTTCGTATGTGGGATTGGAAAGGACATAAGCCTTATCTCGGTGGACTTGCGTTGGTGCACTTCGTCCAAGACCGTTTGACGCAGTATTCAAAGTTCGTCTTTTGACAGAGAAGACTTGGAAAGCTGGGGCTGCAGACCGAAGATTGCATTCCCACACTTGTAGTCGCACCTCGAAAGGTAGTAAGCCGAATTGGTTAAATGTTGTAGCCATGGTCAACAGTAATCGGGTTTGGAATGTGTCTTTTGGTGTTTTCGAGTTTCTGGTGTTGTATTCCTCTCGGTATACGGTGTAAGAGACAAATAAATTGAAGGATGGGTTTGCTGTACGCATTTCAGGTGATGCTAGATACTGAAGACATATGGAAAAAGTCTGACAACGACGATGGATACAATGCCACATTTTCGTGCACCTTTTGGCTTCATGACCTTTGCAGTCTAGCCGTCCGTCACCTTTAAGACCTCATGACTTAACCGCAGCATTTATGAACTTTGTTCTCAAAGTATCCCGATGCCGTGTTTGCTAAAGTCACCATATTCTTTTGGTAGGTTTGCTGAAGTTCAAGTGCTCATTACTTGGAGTTGATGCTGTTGGATCTTCACTCGAGAAGACTTTCGTCTACGAACTAAGCCACCTCAATGGCTAATGATTAAAACATAGCCCGAGAACCGTGGCGTTGCTGGGAGGCAGAAACCCCCATCTATCCCTATGTTAAACAAAGCAAGCTTGAGTGATGTATCATCTTTGACATTGAATATTTTCCACCAACGAGGAATGAATTAAACCTTACATTGTAATGGGTACTAGCCAACCACCTTGGATGCCAGAGCCCAAAATTTGGCCTAAACTGCCGTACATTTCACTTTCAGGTTCGTGCGTCGCTGGGACCTCGTTTCCGACCTGATTGCCGGAACTCTCATCTTCAGCTGGCGTGAGACGTTTCCCTGGGGGACATGGATGCAACAGGACTTATTCGAGCTCAGCCGTGATGGATGTGGGTGGTTTATTGTGCAGATGCCAATCCTCAGTTCCGTCACCTTAAAGATGTGGTTTCGGGACATTCATACAAGGTCAGTAGGGTTCAGATGTCATGTGATTTCCGAAGAGGGCACTGGAACTGAAGAACATGTATGTGGAAATCCCGACTTCTCGATACGGGGGCGACAAAAGCAGTAAAGACCGAAAATGTAGGATCAAGTTATGAATTTCGACGCGCAATCTCTAGAGCATCGTCTTCAAATGCCTACCCGACCGCGGCTCTATAGGATCCGTCCAGACTCGACCAGAATGGCAACCCAGACACCTCGAAGCTCATTACACTATTCAGATCATGATAGGCCACACAATCACCGACTCTCAAGCACATCCCAAACAACCTCCTCATGAACAACATGCGTCCCAACACTCAACGCCGCACCTGTCATCAACAACACCTCACAAGGCAAAGCCCGATTCCCAATCCTCACAACCCGCCTCCACCCCTCCCCCTCCCTCCACTCCCACCTCTCCGCCGCAACCTCCTCTCCGACCCTCGAAATACCCTGACAGAACCGCCCCAGCCAGACAACCATACCCCGCGCCCCGCTCGTCTCGTCCTCGTGCTTGAGAACAACACACTCGACACCCTTCTGAGCCTCGCCCTCGGCCGCGGCACCGACCGGAGGAACCGTAACGGGCTCAACGTCCCTCCACAGCTCTTCGTAGTCCGTCTCCGTGCCGGTGGCGGGGTTCACCATCCGGCCCTTTTCGAGCGTCAGCCCGTCGGGCTGCTCGTACATGTCGCCCTCGTCGGCCGCGTTCTCGGGATCCGTCGTGCGCGAATCGATCCAGTGCTCCCAGCGCGAGTGGCGCACCTCGGCGCCCTGATCGTCGGTGCGGGTGGACGACGAGGAGGTTCCGGCGATGCCCCATTCCAGGCGCTCGATGCCGTGCGTATCTTTGTGAGTGTTAGCCTTGAGGTGTCTAATAGTTGTGGTGGGCGACTTTTGAGGTCCTAGGCTAGACTCAAGTGCCTACGATGTGGAAACTTACCTTGTACGCCATCGACGGTTGGCGTTTGCTTCAGAATGCGGAGGTCCACGAAACGGCGCTGCGGGGACGTGAGCACTATGGTCGATGTCGGCTCGCTCGCTTCATCGGGGATCCAGCGAATATGCTCGCGGAACGAGATGCTACCCATGATGATGAACTGAACTTGCGAAGATCTAGAAGCTGTGTCTATGCTGTAAATGGCAGTGGTTCACAGTTGGGTCACAGTCGAGGTTGCGCGGTATGCCACATTGAAAGGCAAGGCTATGGCGGTGATGGTGGGGGAATAAACAAGCTCACACGGGCAAGGTGTCGATTGAATCGTCGATGTCGCGCAGATCTCCACTTTCAGCCGATGAAAAGCCTCACGCCGTCATCGCCCGCCGATCCGGAGCCTCCCTCAGATCTGGGCGCTTCTAACGGCTTTTCAGCGCGCTAGGTACATCGTTTGGGAATCTTTATTCTCTCTGTGAGGTCTATGATCTAAGTCTATGTATACTGTCTCATGTTTTTACAATCGTTTTCTCTCACTCACAATCGCGCTTCTTGCGACGGAAAAGCAGTGACGAGCCAGCCCGCAACATCTTACGCAGCCTTCTCGAGACGCTCGACAATGTCTACCAGACCCTTCGCCTTCTCCTCGCACTCGATCTTACCCTGCTCTTGTGCCTCGTACGTCTCCCGTAGGCGGTCTACCATGAACGGCTTCAGCGGCGCCCTCTTGGCGGTCTTGTAATCGTAGACCACGATATCCTCGAAGCAGCGGGCGGCAGGGCGGCGGTGGCCGTCGGAGATGAGAAGGGCTTCAAGCAAAATGAAGTCTGATTCGTATGTCGGCTTGGAAACGAGCTTATGGAGGACCGTCACATGATCCGGGTAGGCCATTGGCTTCACATTGGTTGTCAGTGTGAGCGATTCAGGTATTTTAGACTTAACCGCCGCGGTGCCAAAGATACAGCGACTTTAGATTCCTGCTGCTTCAAGTTGATGGATATGTCACTCACAAACTTGTAGTCCGTTTTGATGCTTCTCATGATGAGGCCAATCTCCTTCGGGCTCATGAGCTGGTCCCACTCATCCTTGTGCTCAGGATCCACCGTCGTCGCAAAGTTACGAAGCCAGTTGACCCGCGCCGACTCGGCGTACTTGTTGTAGACGACATTGTTTACATGACCTATGGATGTGAGATTGAGATTCATGGTGTATTCGGGGTGCGAGTCATACCCTGTAGTATGTCAGTTCAATGTCCCCCGTCCTTTGGAGAGCCAGGCTCCGGTTCAACTCACCATTGCATCCTGATTTCCATCACAATCAGCACCCGTTTCATCTTATCTTGTGAAGACTCATGTTGTGACAGGAACTCACCTGGTCTCCCCAAGTCACCGTATGTCTGTCAAGGCCCCTCCACCCCGGACCCGTGAGGAACCCCTCCCGTCCGGCGAGCAACTCCAGCCACTGGCCATCGACAGCCTTCCGCAGAGCCGTCAACTCCTCCTTCTGCTGCCCGCTGAGATCGAGCCCGGCGCACCGCTTGATGCGTGACTGCAGCTCAGAAAGCCATCGCGGGTTCAGCGGCGGCGCAGATGCTGGAGATGAAGTACTGGCGGCGAGACTCCTTGCGGCGGTGGTCACGAACGATCGACGGGGGTTTTGGGGGCTCGAGAGGCGAGTCAGGCCGGCGTTGAGGGCGATTGACTTGCGCATCTTTGACTTGCTTACCGCGGGTATCTATTGATCGTAACGCAAAGTAGAAGAAAAAAGCAAAGAGAATACTAGCGAAGCATGGGATGAAAAATCTAATGGCAAGTCCGGCGAAAGGTGGATGATAGGATAGTGAGGAAATCCGGCTTCCGTCGGCTACGCGTTGCGAGTCGGTGCAGAATAAGGGAAGGTAAGGTACCCCAGGGAGATAAGGTGATCTGATTCTGAGTGCACATCGGGTGGAAGTGGATGTTGGAAGTTGAAATTGACCTGAAGGCTGGCCCTTTCCAGCGGGTTTTTGTTACAATTCCCGGGCTGCGTTATTGCCGCCCATTGGTTTGGGTCGGTAGTTGGAGCGCGCCCTTTGTGTTGGTAAGGAGCCATAGGGCGTGGGGGAAGGGGGGTTTCCGGCTCGGACTTTCGGTACGAGGTATTTTGACGTGTGCAAGTCCCTAAATGATTAATCAGGTAACTTGAAAGGTGAAGGGGAGGTAGAGAAGTGTCTTTTTGCATGAAGCAGGTGCAGAATCGCAACTTCTACGATCAAGTCGATTTGAGGATTAAATTGTGTGAGGCATCCATAGCAGGCTGAGCTTGCCTTCTCGCATCGTCGCTGTGCCTCTGTTCGGACCCGGGGTCAATGTGGCAATGTAACAATTCGCACCTCCAGGACCCATGACCCAGGCCTAGCGATGAAGCCTTTTCCCTTGGTGTTTCGACGGCGTGCATCTGCCCTTTTATGGGAGGGACACACTCGATATTCTGCAAACTTTGGTTTTTGACCTTTTCATTCCAAATTGCGTAGCTCGAGATGTTGAATCGATGCACATAATAAGCCACATGTCACCTTTCAACAAGATGTTGAGTTTCGCCAAGTGAGGTTGGAGTTTACCTCTGGTATGTGGCGGTGCATGCGATGCAACATTGGCAAACCCGCTCCATCTCTCATGGAATCGACAATAAACGTGTCAATGGTCCCCTTTTAAGGCATCCCAGGATGTTTGTGTCGCCAAACGCAGTGCTTCGCTGAAGATTGGCCTTTGTTGAACACCGGGGCAGCGATGAAAGCAGCTACCCCAGCTGCATCCGCTCCATGAGATGCGCTGAAGGGTTTTGGCAAGGGCCCAGGTGCATGCATGCCCCTCTCCAGGACCCTGAGGAAAGCTGAGGTAAGCACGCGTGCATTACGTAATTTGAGAAGGGAGCTTCTATGATTATCTAAGTAAGTACCTTGGTGAAGCAGGAAGCAGGAACCAACCAAGCTGCCTCCCGCTGGCAGTTGCGTCCTGCGCGGCGGGGGGAACCTGGGCGGAAGGCAGCTCCGAGCTGCAACGGGAGCGGTGGTCATAGCTTCCTCCTCTTCCTGCCCACCTGCCTTGCCTGCCCCACCTTCCAGATCAGGGAGGACGCCGGACCGACCAACGACACTGCAGTTTGCCAGCTCGCAAACGCAAAAAAAGAGTCCAGTGCGTTTTTATGGGCGGCGCATCCGGTTGACGCGTCTGTCCGATCCGGACTCCTTGCGGTGGCTAGCGAGAGACGGAAGAGTTTTCCCAGATGGTTGATACATTTGATTCAATAAGACTCCAATCGGTTATGAGTCTTCTAAGTGACACTTTCGACGCGTCTGTCGTTCTGCAGGAAGGTTGTGCAAAGGGAAAGGGGAACCCTCGTGGTACACGCGTCAGAAGTCAAAACAATGAAGTCGCAGCCTCGTTCGAATATCTGGACCAACTCCCACAAGACCAAACAGACTATGAATGTAGATGCTCCGATATAGAGTTTTCGAGTTAGGATCTCCTAAGTCAAGGATAAATTCGCGTCCCATATCTTGTATTATCAGTGAATCACGCGCGAGAAGGCAGGTAGATGACCGTCAAGCGAGGCTACCCTCGTGCCTTCCCTGCGAAAATTCGGTCCCTGCCTATCAGACCAAACGCCTTTCACGAAGATTATTTAAGCCAACGTTATCGCAGGAATGGTAGAAAGAACTTCCTAGAGATGCATTGAGTCACAAACTACCCACTGCCGTTGATGATGTGTTTCGCAACAGGAGATGCTGGGTGCTGGAAAGCAGCACCACGTGACATCCAGACGCTGCTTCCCCCCTTTTTCGATACCAGAGATCGGTAGATCGCGAGATTTGCTATGGCCTCTGTGCCAAAATTGATTCTAGTTTGATATCAACCTGTCTTGGGCCATTATCTCCATCAGGGTCGACAACTGTTCGTAAGTTTCGGACAAGTTGACGATGTGTTGGCCATGTCAATTCGTGAGGCGGTGACGGGCACACGTGTTCTGCTCCTCCACCTTGGGCAGGCATGCGTCAATCTGGAAGCGCCAGCCCGGATAAGAACAACTTTGATTGAAAAAGAGATATTGAAAAGTCGAACAGATGAATATTGAAGTCTCAGCAGTTCACGACGCAAATTACATCTTCATTCACTGGTGTGCAGCGATGGTATCCCGCTTTTGGGTGGAAGCGCTGTTGAAGTGCGAATAGCTTCCATCGCGTCTCTTGCACAGGAATGAGTTATTGGCGCTGGCAGCACAGAACCAGCTTCAAATTGGCCAAAAACTCATGCATCAATGAGGACAGTCACTGCGATACCAGAAAAGACGTGATCGACGAGTTTAGGCAACAGAGTGGACGTAGACACGCGGATGAGGCGATGCAACTCATTTCACCGGTCGCGTGGCCCCATCGCGATGGTATGAAACGACATACTCGGTGTAAGTCAAATCAGGCCAGGAAAATGGTAGAAATTCAACAAAAATATCGTCGAGCAGATCGTCGACCTAAATGATGGAATCCGATGCTTTTTTGATGGATTTCGTGGTGCTGTTAATGATTGCGACGATGGTGGTGCAAGATGTGCGGATAGCTTCAATTTGGACGAAGCGCGACCGAATCACAACAGTCGGGGTTGGGGGTTGGGAGTGTGCGCGCAATATCAGGGTCGCAACACGCGATATACAGAGAAAAAAGTGCATCGAACGATGGAGAAAAATTCGAGCTACAACACGATAAGATTAGACGCGAGATGGAACCGAAAGCTACAGGCAGGAGAGCGCATGCGACGGATGGCGTTGGCGGTCGGGGGTGAAAACGAAGATGGACGATGATGCAAAATCGGGCATCTCGGCGGGGGAAAGGCGTGAGAATGGGAGGGAAATTGAGGCCGGGTCGGAGGACGGTGGATCGGCGGGTGCGAGACTCAGAAACGTGGCAACGGCGAGCCATGAGTCATTTTTCGTAATGGAGGGTGAGTAAATGGGAAGAAGAGGGAATCAAGAGGGAAGAGAAAGAGGAGAAGGGCGAGGAGAGGAGAGGGTGGTTGAGGTGGGCGATGAGAATGAGTTTGGTGGGAGATGGGAGACCCGCGAACGTGTGCGGCATCAGAGACTGAGCAGGGACGGAGCGACGCTGAGCAGTGAGCACTCGGGACGGGGAGGGGAAGTAACAACGGTCCACGGTCCACGGGGGAAGCAGGCACGCTGGCGGCAGGACCTCACGGCGAGGAATATTCGGACCAATGAGAAAAAAGGAAAGTAGACGAATTTTAGAAAATAAAAAGGTGACAGAAGGGAAAATGGAGGATAATGGAAGGTACAAGGGCGATGTATCTTTTGTTTGCCTCCCCGTCCCGTCTGGCACTTTCTACATTCTGAGGCAATTGAGCGTGGCAGAAAACATGGCAGTTTGGATGGGAAAGAACGGGCGGGTGGTGCATGTGGCAGGTGCAGGTGCAGGAGCCAGGAGCCTGGCGGGGACCCGGAAGAAGGAGGGAAAGAACCACGCACCTCCTTCCTGAGATTCTGGGACCGGCTGATCTTGAACTCCCCGGCAGGAGGAAGGAGCAGACAAGGTGGATAGTTTCCCGCCTTCCTCTGCCCTGTGTCCACCACCGAGGGCAGGAACTGGGGGCATTGGGCTAATTGAAGGTAGGTAGGTACTGCGCCTATGGCTCTGTCCTACCTAGTCCCCTCACGCCGTCTTTCTTACTTCTCATGAGGTGAGTCTCATCTCACAGAGTCACACACCTCAAACTCACTAGGAACGGCAGTAGAAAAACACCAGAAGACTACCCCGGCTCCCTTAGGGCAGATGACTGGAGCACCCGTTGAGGGGTGCAGCGTGGCGACTGGCGAGGGGAGATGTGCTGGAACCACTCACTATCCATACAGCAGCACTCACTATCCGCAAGGAGAAGTGCGGCGTGCCTTACATCAACCCGGGGGGCGGACAGGGAAGACCAGGGACCCGTCCAGGGTGTGACGGCGGAGACGACAGAAGCCTCAGAAGCTTCATGCATAGCCTGAAGCTTGGGGGCTGGGGGAGCTCGAGTGCTTCCGGCGACGGAGGTGAGCTGGGCTGATTGATCTGAGCTGAGCTTTGGTTGAGATGAGAAGTGAGGGGCGCCACTTGGCCGCCGTCCGCGTCTTCCCCCAACTCAAAGGGCAGCCCGTTCGACTCGACTAGCCGTTACCGTTTGTTTATCAGAACAATAAGAGATGCCACTTGACAATTCAAACGTCAAAATAGATACAGAAGAAAACAAGGACTGGTCCATTATCAAAGGGGCAGAAGAAAGAGGCCGTGGACCGAGGTGAATTAGGCCGTGCTGGAATCTGTCACCGGCCGAGGATTTCTTAGAACACCCACCATTACCATCGCGGCGGCTGTAGTCCTGGACACGTCCAAAATAGACACGCACGTCTCTCCCGCTCCCGCGCTAATCGGCGATTTGAGTCCAAGAAGATATGCCACCGACGGATGAGGACAATGAGGTTGATGTGGGAGAGAAGCGGGAAGCGATGAGAGACACATTGAGACGTGGAAAGTCGGGACAAGCGGACGTCAAGGGCATCATCTCAAAGATAGGGCTCTGTGGCACGCTATCGTCTGTCCGGACACATCACAAACGAACTCGAAGTGTCCGTAGAGCTGCCAGGCTGTGGGCATACACCGTTCAAAGTAATGGAGAGAAGCACCCTTCCGACTTGCCCGGGCCCTTGCCAGATCTAACGGAAGACATCTTTTCAAGTTTATTCTAGGCTACCATGGTTACTTGATGGTATCATTGGTGTATGAATCAAATGAGTGAGTGAGATGCGAGGAGAAAGAAAGGGAAAGAGGAAAAAGAGGGTGCCATCTCTGAGGGGGGGGGGGGGGGAACTCGAGAGTGAGTGAGATGGGAAGTGAGAAGGGACTGAAAGTTGAGAGGGGGAAGGCCCAAGGCCCCCCCAGTCCGCGTGATTTAGCGACCATCCCCCCAAAATGGACGGGGGATTTGAAGGGCCCCAAAGGCACCCGCACCAAGCCAAGAGGGAGGAGGTAAGAAAAAAAAAAAAAGAAGGCACCTCAAGGCTCACACTCAAAAAATCCAACGCCCGCGCCCGCGCCCTCAGGTCGTCTCCCCAAAAGTTACTGATTGCGCACCGCGCCTAAAGGCCCCCGCCCATTTATAAAAACAAGCCCCATCCCCTCCACGCACGCGCTCCCCCATCACCCTCTCGTTCCGGATCTCTTCATCTCTTGCCTCTCTCAGTCACCACAACGCGTCGATTTAATTCTCGCAACTTTTCTCAAAGTACACCCGTCTTCAAACCGACTTCAATCGACATTTCGATTGGATCCTGCTTCATAGCAAACCTTTCCGCTTCACGCATCCACACAACCCCCCAAAACAATCACAATGCCTCCCAAGAAGACCGAGGGCGCCGCTGCTGCCCCCAGCAAGAAGTCCACCCACGCCAGCTACCAGGTTTGTACCTCCACCAGTCCGGCTTTTTACATGACGCGTTGGTTGCTAACTCTTCATAGGACATGATCACTGATGCCATCGTTGCTGTATGTTTTACCGCTCCTCCATCTCCGGCGCAAAGGGTTACGCGATCGGAGGACCCACGAGTTGGGTCAGCTGCCATTCGCGCCTAGCGCCCGTGACCTTCGATCGCGCTACCCTCCACCGCCTCGACGATGGTCCACCTATTCTTGTGCTCCTCTTAATTGACTCATCTTCCCTCCTACAGCTCAAGGACCGTAACGGATCTTCCCGCCAGTCCCTGAAGAAGTACGTCAAGGCCAACAACCAGATCAACACCGTCAGCGACAACATGTTCGACTCTCTCTTCAACAAGGCCCTCCGCGCCGGTGTTGAGAAGGGTGTCTTCGAGCAGCCCAAGGGTACGTCACCGCCTCTGTCGGTACAACCTTGAAGCAATACTAATATTCCTCAAGGTCCCTCCGGTGGTACCAAGCTCGCCAAGAAGGCGCCTAAGCCCGCTGAGAAGAAGGCCCCCGCAAAGAAGGAGGCCAAGGAGCCTAAGGAGAAGAAGGCTGCTGCGAAGAAGGAAACCAAGGAGCCCAAGGAGAAGAAGGCTGCCGCTCCCAAGAAGGCCGCCGCCAAGAAGGAGACCAAGGAAGCCAAGGAGCCCAAGGAGAAGAAGGCCGCTGCCCCCAAGAAGGCTGCTGCTGAGAAGAAGGAGAAGAAGCCCGCCGCCAAGAAGGCTGCTGCCGTATGTTGATTACCTACACTGATGGCCTTTTCATCACTAACATACTCATAGGCCAAGGAGGAGAAGCCCGCCGTCCTCAGCAAGACCAAGACTGGTCGCGTCACCAAGACTGAGAAGAAGGCACCGGCCGCTAAGAAGGAGGCAAAGGAGCCCAAGGAGAAGAAGGCCGCCGCTCCCAAGAAGGCTGCCGCCCCGAAGAAGGCAGCGCCCAAGAAGGCCGCCGCCGACAAGAAGGAGGCCAAGGCTGAGGCTCCCGCTGCCACGGCATAAGGGGCCACTCTTCCTTGTTTCCCTTTACCTTGAACGATGATGCAATGTCGAGTACTCTGCTCGGCTCTCCGCACAACTGTTTTTGTGTCACGAAATCTTGTCGAAAGGCGTTTACGGGAGTTGTTATTTAACTAACTGGGAAAGGGCAATGGGCCGGGAAGCGTTGGTGGGAAACCAACCTGGGGGGAAAACGCAATTGCGTTGTCTTGTGTCTTTGTCGTTTGTGTCTTGATTGTCTTTTCTATATGTTGCGGCTGCTTTTGATCGAGCGCGACGCGTGGTTGGGGGGCTTGGGATTGTGTTGAATGCTTTGAGAGAAGATTCCCGCTTTGGCGACACGAGACGGATTCCCCCTTCCGACTACTGTAACTATAGCTCGCGCGATATACCAACGATGGGAGCCTTTCACTGTTCACACAATCTTCCTGCTGATTTGTGCAATTCTCGCGATGTAAACTGACGCGTCGAGCTCGACAATCTAAACAGCAGACGGCGAGACCGAGTAAGTGCAGTTCACTCAGGGGCACGGTAAATGCGGCGCCTCGCTTGCAATTACCGGGTGGCACTGGAAGAAAATGATATTACATGATACAAATTGTTTGCCATCTTGTTTGATGCGCGCCTGGATCTTGATTGAGCTTAGGGTACGGGAACGATAATCTTTGATTGAATTACGATAAGAGCGGCAGGCTGAGCGATGTAGAAAAGGGAAAATCGAGAAAGAACGAGCTGAGCTGCCGACGTGCACTGTACTGTAAGGAGGACGAATGTCTGAGAATATGAGGACGCGCCGTGAGAACCGGAGACTGGGACCCTGGGCAGGGTACCGTCACCGTGTTTCTCCCCCATGGCAGTTTCGGAGTGGAGCCGACGCGGTTCATTCTTCCCAGGGTCTTTTTTTTCTTGTTTACATTTATGGAATTCTTCTTATGCCCGCCCTCTGACCTTTTGTCTTCCCCCGGTCCCGTATGTTGATTTAACCGCCGGACGGGCCACCGCGCCGTCTGAGAGGATAGAGGGAAAAAGAGGTAAGGCTGTGAGGGAAGGCTAGCTTGGCTTGGATACGGGGGGATGTGAGAGGCTTGAGAGCTGAAGGGCGTCCGTGCCGTTGGTGAAGGTGTCACGTGCACGTTCTCTCATCTCTCATGGCCCGACAGAAGGGAGGAAGAGTGCCTTTTTGTCTGGTTTCTGGATGAGTTGACCTTGAAATAGAGATCAATTTGCAGTTGATTTGAGATGTTTGGATTTGTGGTGCAAATCAAAGCTACAGCGTTTTGGAGGGCGTTGTCGTTTCTTGGCCGATGCTTTGGCTTGACCTCGCACCTTACCCCCTCCTCTGGCTTATAATCTCTACAATGTGGGTGAGACGTTTTCTTAGTGGTCTGATTTTGGGGCCGGATGTGACTTGGTCTGAGACGAGGCGCGCCCGTCGCCGGGACGAGTTTACAGTTTGGCATAGAACAATCCGGTTGAGCTATGCGTTTCTCTACGAAAGGTACGGACTGTTTTCACGAGAGTCCGTCATATGTCGCTGTCTGCGGCGGTTGTCGAGTGGGAAAGCGGTGAAAGGATTAGAAAATGTGAGCGAACATGGCCCTTCAGCCAAAGATGTTTCGGTGCCGCGTTTTCCCTCAGGTAGATTACTCTTTGGGAAAGGAAATGTTTGACTAGTTTTTCGGATCATGAACAGCCTACGTGCCCATCTTACATATTCAGTTGGCGTGTCGAGTGGTCCTCCAGCGTATTTTGAGTTGGAAGGGGATAGTTGCGCCGGCCTGCGGTCGGCGAGTGGGACCTGACCGGGGATGAGCGGACTGGACGGGTTGACACGTGCGATGAGGAGGCGATGGTGCCACACTATGTGCTGGTTGCTGACCCTGAGGTTGGCGGTGGTGCTCACTAAGGACACTGTGTAGGTAGGCGAGCACGACTGATTCTAGTGTTTGTTGTTTGCTCTTCTTTGCAGGTAGATGATCATATAGTTTGTCTCATCGACGGTCACCCACTCATACAATCGAGCGTGAGCGTATAGCAGAAGAATGCTGCGACTGACTGTGAAAGATAGGTGGGTTCCGTCAAGAGGGAGCACATGGATGCGTGCTGGACAGAGATCATCACGTGGGCAACCGCAGACAGGAGAGTGCCGTTGGAGTGTGTGACAGTGTCGTTCCCGGTGTCTGGCAGAAAAGAACGAGAGTGACGGGGGAATAGTCTAAGAGGTGGCGGTGCGGGGAAATGTCTTGGGGGAAGAAGGCAGGAGATTGAGAAGAAGAGGCGGAAGAGAAGGTGTCGCGGGCAGGTGTAACGGCGTCAAATGTCGAGCTCGGAGCTTCCTCTGGGACGGCGAACAGAGGTGGAGAAGTTGACCGCGGCTCTTCCGTTGACCCCTCTCTGTGTCCATCTCCCACTGTCTTTTGTCCTGTCTCTAGACTATCTGATGCTTGTCACGTTGCTGATGCCGGGCTGGTGTTGGCGCAGGTACGAATACATGTTGCCTATCGTGCGGTGCCGTGATGTGTCAGGCACTTTGCCTAGATAGGTGTATTGGAGATGCCGCTCGGCATGAGGTCCGGGCTGCCAGCGCGTGAGCAAGTGGTGCAGAGCGGTGCGGTGCGGTGCGGTGCGGTGCGGAGCATGTTGCAGATGTCCAGTGGACCTACGGTGACTGTGACTTGGATGACAAGGAGTGACGTGGATAGCTAGCCCCGAGCTTGCTTTCCCATTGGTGTTCCTGAAACAAACCTTGATGTTTTGAGGGGGAACGTTGGCCAACTTGGTGTTCAGCACGCAGTGATGAAGGTGTACAACGTGGAAGCGCATTGCGGTGAGGTAAGCATGGAGGGGAGGGGCAGAGGCGAGGAGACAAGAGACAACCTGGGAAGTGTGAGCATGAGATTCGGACTATCCGTATAACCATCTGGTCTGGTTGTTTGGGTATCTCTGAGAGTCTGGGTGTTGGTGGTGCAGTATACTAATTACTCCGTACATAGCAGTGTTGATCCATGTCCCGGGATCCCTGTTGTCAATCCGGAACGGCTTGAGCGACAGGTGCAGGGGGCAACCGTACAGTTGGGGGCGACGCGGCGACGCGGCGACGCCCCGGCATGTCGAGGATGGAGAGGAGTGTGATCTGAGCGTTGAAGGGTCACCCGTCTTGCCGTCGTATGAGGACACTCACGCAAGGGGACTATATGGAGGAGGGTTGATGGTTGTCTCTGCCATGAAGAGTGAGGCGGCACAATCAGGTCTTTGCAGAGACTGACCCTTGAGCTTCAGACTGAGAGAAGGGTCTGAAGAACGGGGAGTGAGATGCGAACACAAGATGGCCGAGGCGGCCGAGAGTGAACGAAACACAGGTCGCCGTGAGGCATGAGAGAGGAGGCACGAGGCATAAGATCATACGTCTGTGAGCTGTAAAGTGCGAGTGAGTGAGTATCCGTATGAGAGAGCATTGGTGAAGGAGTGAGTGAGAAAATGAATGAGAGAGAGCATGCATGGTCTGGCTCGTGCGCATCCATCCTCCCGTCCGTTTCGGGGTATGTGGGGGAGAATGTTGCTCAGGCCAGCTACGGTACCGGGTACGGAGTGCCTTACACCATACGTGCGACTTGTACCTTTCTCTGGTGATACCTTGGGCAGGTAGGTAGGTAGGTGATGGGAGATGCTCTTTCCTCAATGATACTGACAGGAAGAAACCTAAGGACAAGAGACGGGGAATAACGTGGCATTTCCCTCTCTTTCTGCCTGTCATTTACGGCCAGGTTATTGCGTCAGGCTCAGTCACTTAGGTTCCATGATCCATCTGGTTCGACTCTCGAGGCAACGCTTCAGGGGACAGAGCTTGCATCTGCAGCTGCCTTGGCTGGAACAGCAGAGCTGCATGTCTGGAACTTGTTCTCCCTCTCACCCTCTACCTAGTAACAAGTACCCATCTGCTCAAGTACCTCCAACTGTCATTACCGTGGAACAGAGGTACCGGGCTGAGATGGAAACAACCAACCAGCCTGACCTGGACTCGGGCCATCTAAACGGGACAGGACGACAAAAGTGACCAAACGGGCTCCTCTTCTTCATCATCTCCCCCTGCTATTTGCGAATACCTCAGCACCTAAGGTAGGGATGTAATTAGGTACCTACCTCCCGCCGCCAGGTTCCATCGGCCCCCGTCAAAAGTGTCGTCAATCACCACACAACACAACCCATCTCGCTCGTCGATAACGTACCTTGGGTTCCAACGATAAGGTACCTTAGCCAGGTACTTTGCGACCATCGATAAGCAGATAACCCCCCTGCGCTGGTCTTATCCGCTCCCACATGGTGTCGAATCGCACCGTACCGCCCCCTCGGACTGACGTCTTGTTTCTGTCCAATCTCATCTCATCATCCACCAACTCCTCCGTTCCCCGACACGTCCAGTCCACCTCAGTTCAAATCCAACTTCTATCCGCCAGCAACAGCAGCAGCACTGCCACTGCTCATACACACCACTCCTCTCCCCACGCCGTGCCGTACTGCTGCGTCTGCCAATATTACCCTCGTACTTTAGCTTGTCTACTCTCATCGTCTCTACCAGCACTTATCAGCACATCGTCATTCATAACCGCAGCTCTCGGCGACTTGGTAAGCACCAGAACGTGGACCCCTCGTTTTCCCCATTGGGCTGCCCATCATCCCGAACCCGAGCCCAGTCAACCCGCCCTTCCACCGTCCCTTGCGACTCAAGTACCTACTTGCCAACCGATTCTTCCGGTCAACGAAACTGACGCTCGCCCGCAGTACCCGCGGCCACACCCCGTACCCCGTACCAGCACCAGTGCCAGTACCTGACCACCAACAACCCCTACCCCTCGATCTACCCAGCGATCCATCCGAGACCCTCCACCTGCCCAGCCTGTCTATCTATCCTCAGTCGAGCCTCAACGAATTCGAACCGCCTATTGAAACTTCGTCGTAGTTGTAGCTATCGTCGTCGTCGTCGTCGTCGTCGTTGTCGTCTTCGTCTTCGTCCCACCACGACACATTGACAGCCTCCACCCGGCGATTACGACATCGTCCGCGTCTCGCTCTGCCGGGACCTGGCCATGGCGGCTGCCTAACTCCTCCCTCGACAGGATTGCACGTTACAAGATAAACCCGCCTATTCCGAGCCTTTGCCCGTCGCAAACATGGCCTCCGAACACAACCCCTTTCGAAGGAAGTCTGCTTCCACCTCACTCTCCGTCTCAACCCCCCAGCCAGTCTCTACATCGGCCTTTCTCGAGTCCATCACCTCCGGCATCTCGAGGCAGAATGGTCCTCCGCCCCCCGAGGCGCGGCCGGCCAAGCCAAAGGTCGTGAAAAAGGTTAGGGTCCTTTCGCCTCCACCTTCGTCTCCCTCGTCCCCAGAATCCGTACATAGCAGAGGCTTTGGACGCCAGGACGACAGCAGCGACGAAGATTCCCACGACGAAGACGACCAATTTTCAAAGCGATTTCCCGAGCTTCCCGGTGGCCTCCCCGAGGCTGCGCCACTTCGCATTGCCAACGCGAGCAATACCCCCGATAATCCCTTTGGCAAGACGCTACAAGATCTGGAAGGCTTGACGGACGTGAAGCCTTCATCTGGCGGATCGGCCAAAGCTATGGATGTCAACGCCTTTAAGATGCTGTTGCTCACCGGCCAGGCCGGTGCTGGTACACCACCCCCGCAGACATCAGCGTCACAGGGAGACAAGGCGCCCGGTGCATCATATGCTGCACCTGAGCTGGAAACGCCACGGACGTCACAAGATATGGCGGATCGCGGCATTGACGACCAACGTTCTCTTTTGGCATCTTCTCCATCCGTGAAGAAGAAGCCTCCGCCGCCTAGCTCAAGGCATGGTCGGAAGATTAGCGTGCAGACTTCAGGTCGTCCGCATATCTCCTCCGAGACTGCGTCGCCCATTTCCCCGTCTGACGTGAACAAGCCTCTACCGCCCGCTCCAAGCAGTCACGGTGGAGATGACATGGAAGATGTTTTTGCCCGTGAGGCTGCTGGCAAAGTTCCGGAGCAGGACTCCCCCACACCCAGCTCAACACCTACCCCGGCACTTCCGGCGACAGGCAAGAGACCGACACCTGCCCCTCCACCACGGCGGGGTCACGCACGGAGCCAGTCCTTAACAGCCAATGCCGGGGCCAACGCTCCGAGTGTACCAAGTTACGAGGCCGACACTCCGCCTCGCTCTTCGTTAGAATCGCAGCGCTCCAGATCAGAGAGTTTCCGAAGCATCAATGCTCCGGCTCCGCCTCCACCTCGGCGCCCGCACGCATCCCATCGACAATCATTCCAACTAGCCTCGCCATCTGCTGGTTCATTTCAAGGAGCCAGCCCAGCACCATCTGACATTGATACTTCTATACACGCTACGGAGAATACCCCTCCCAAAACCTCACCTCCGCCACCACCACCGGCACGGAATACTTCCATACGCCGGCCTCCTAGCGTCAGGAGCATTGAAGCCCCCAGCAGGAAGATTAGTGGGGGCAAGGAGAATGCTCCCCCACCGCCACCACCGCGTCAGAGGGGCAGTAGTCGCGGAAGCATGGACGGATATGGTATGAGGAGGACCAGCATCGACAGCACTAGGGCCATGGGCAGCAACGTTCCAGAAGAGCCCGCCGCGGAGGATGATGCACAGCAAGAGTACGACGCAGCTAACTCAGGCAAGGGCGCGGATATTCTCGCCGACCTGGATGCTCTACAACGAGAAGTGGACGCCCTGAGGGCAGCACAGGGCAAATGAAGGCACGGTCAAGGCGCTTTATAGACGATGGGAGTTGAAATAGACAACATTCCCGAGCAGACTTACACGCCCTGGAGGGGCGGCTGGGTTATCTTAAATGGGGATTGTACATTTACGCACGTACCAGGATGCGATATGAAGTAATGGAATGCTTATGAGTCGACGTTTGCGATTAACTGTGCTACGGGGCGTTCGACCCGTGTTCCAAATGGCTGGATCCGCGAGAGTTTGGGCACAGTCCTTGAGCCAACCAGTAGCCCTTGATTCCGAGGTTGAAGAGAAGAATGGGCTGCTAGGTCACACGAGTACGAGGAATTGAGTTATTGGAGATCCGAGAAGTCAAAGATAATACCTAGCAGGGCACAGGACACCGTGTACACCAGAATGGGACGGCATGCTACTTTTAGTGGCCGCGGCCGGTCTCCAACGCCCCGTCGGCGTCCTAGGAGAAAAGTCCGTCGGAGCTTGGGGCGGACTCTGAGATGCCGTTGAGGCCGGCGGTAGGCATGAAGGGCGGAGAGAGAGCTTCGGAGGCTCGTTTTAGAGAACGTGAACGAGGCTGGCTAATGTGTAAACGTGGGATGGGGTTAAGGTATCGTCGGGGACTTGGCGGCGAGGGACTGGACTCTTGTGTAGGTGTGAAGATGTGGGATATGGGGGTTCGTGGTGATGGTGGGTACGTGATTTTACGTTTTACATGGGACTCTTTTGTGGTTGCTTTATCCGCTGCCCGCGGGAGAGCATGGATATATAGGGTTTTCGGAGAGGTACGGTCTAGGAACTCTGAGAAAGCTTGGTTGTCTTGATTAGTGAGATCTTGGAGGTTCCCGAGGTAAGTTGATGTTGAAGGTTTGGGTTAGCTCTGTTGTAGAAGTATTGAGTTGTCAAGGTGGGATGAAGTATTGGATGAGGTAACCAGTTATACCCTTACCTCGCCTACTCTTGTAAGTTATTTGATCGCGATAGTAGGTCTCTTGTTCGGTATCGCTTTCCGTACGTTGAAAGACACTGGCGATAGGTAGGAGACCTGGTGGGATAAGCCATGTCCCAATCTTTCGCGAAGTCCTTGATTGAGGCCTTGCTTTACTTTAGGTCTATGACGATGGAGGCCGGCGGAACAGTGCCACTCCAAGCCGTGGAATATGCGGCGATGAGCTCCATGACTGCCAGCCTACAACAACTCGTCGATAGGGTTAAACACCTGTGAAGGGGTGGCTTGAGTGGTGGTGTATAGTATTCCTCAAGGAAGAGTGAAAACATGGAGCATCCGAGCGGTCGGTACAAACTTTATGTGTGGATGGCAACCGCGAGCTTAGCTTTTCTTTGGAACTCAACTTTCAAAGGAACGCGACTTTCCTTATTGTATTTTTTTTTTTGGACAAAATTTCACCCCCACCTCTCGCCTCTCACACTTCTCTTGAACTTTGGCTTATGGATAGTTTTGATGACATCGCCGGTGGGACTACACACCACTCTACCTTACCGGTTCGGCATGGGTATCCGGCACGGGAGTATAACAGACGCCTTGCGGTGTTTGACTACCTTATTTCCAGAAGGGTAATCCCCAGAGTAGGATCGAAATTTAGGATCCCCCCAATTTGTTGGACTGGAGGGTCGTCTGTCAACTTAGCCTATCGCATGCTTTGGCATTTGCAGCAGGGACCCCGAAGGAGTTTGGTTAGAAGCTCGAGGAGCTTAGCTTGAGGACGGATGGTTTTGTATAAGTAGCTCCGTGGTCTTCTTCTCACCCTGTGTATCGGATAAGCTTGTTCAAGGACCAAAAGACATCAAGACTTCCATCCAGATCAACGGACAGACCAGACATCTCTTAGCACAAGCATTTACCATCCTCACCTACCATACAGTCTACCCTTCGCCAGCTCGAACTATTTTCGAGAGACAGCCAATACAGCCAAAATGTCATCCCTCATCAGCAATCCAGCTCCCCTCCACCTGAGCCCAGAGCTCACCAAGAAGAAACCCATCATCGCCGGCCCAACCACAACTGCCGCCGCGTCCTCAAAGTCCCTAAACGAATCAGGCGACAAAGCCAACCTTGTCGAATTCTGGCGCAACCCCGAGGCCGGCAACATTTACCGTCACGCAGAGCACCTGACCTCCCCCGTGACCCCCTGCCTCGTCGACCACTCGCAGCTATGCCAGACCGTGTCCTCGGCGTCGGCCAGCACGAAGACGATCCAGGTCATGGATATGTGCTGCGGGACCGGGGTGGTGTCGTCGTATATACAAAAGATGATGCGAGAGTTGCCTGGGCAGCAGAGGGAGAGGGTGAGGTTGACGAGCGCGGACTCGAGTGAGGCGCAGTTGGGGGTTGTGAAGGAGAAGATTGGGAGGGAGGGGTGGGTAGGGTGTGAGGTTAGGCAAGCTGATATCATGGTAGGCGACGATTTTGCCCCTATTGAAAACATTGATTTGACTCGGACGATGGTTTGGGGTGGTCGCGGCTAACATGACCAGAACATGTCGTTCCCTGCTGACCAGTTCGACGTCGTCATCGTCGCTATGGCATTGATGCTCGTGGCAGATCCATACACATCTCTCAATGGTGAACACTCTCCACTGCCCACCATACCGGACTTACAAGAAAGACTAACACGTCAAACAGAATGCTACCGCGTCACCAAGCCCGGTGGCACCCTCGCAACCTCAACCTGGGTAACCGAAGGCTGGATCCCAGACACCCGTGACGCAGTACGCAACCTAGCCTTGCCGGGCCAACCCCCTGTCTCCTGGCCACAATCCTCCATCGAGCTGACCTCGCTCTGGGGTCCCGGCGCGTGGGAGTCTCCCTCCTTCGTGCAGAGTATGTTCACCGCGGCTGGGTTTGTGGACGTGGAGGTGGACGTCGTGACTAAATGGGTGCCGTTCTCCGGGGTCGACGAGTGGTGTACTGTTTTCCAGGCGTTCATGCACGGGGTAATGGAGAGGTTCTGGACGAGGGCGCAGAGGGAGGGGTTGAAGGGGCGGTTGATGCCGACGTTGAGGGCGTTTATGGAGGAGAAGTATCAGGGGCGGCCGTTTGAGGTTGAGAGGACTGTTTTGTTGGCTAGGGGGAGGAAGCCCGAGTGAAGGTGTGGAATCTTTGCGTGGGCTTCGTTTTGTAGACATACTACGCATAACAGGTACATGTTGAAATCATGTTGCAACAATTTTGAATGAGAACCATGTTGATTCACTTGGAGCCCATCTGGTACCCGGGGCCCAGCTTATCCTCAATTCCGTAGATAGCAGGAGTCATGTTTTCTGCTGCGGTTCTGGCTCACAATACGACTTGGCGTTCGTTTCTTCTCATTACCTAGACAAGTTGAGAACAGGTTGGAAAAAAGGTGATCTAATTCGGAAGGACTTTTTGCCAGACATCAGGTAGTCAGTGTGTTAGAAAATCAAGCCGTACCTCTCTTCTGACTAAGAAAGCTGTCATGAAACAGGAACAATATCAGCAGGCACTGAGCCACGGACTCATTGGCGTGGATCTCATATTCCCTTGGTCTATTGACTGCTCTCTTTCCTGCCTTCTAGATGGGTAAGCTGCAGCCACTTTAAGCCACTTCATATGCCCTTACTGTGTGCCATGACTCCTGACAAAAGGTAGAGCCTGCGGATTCTTGGGGGCTAGAGATTATCACCTGATGATCGGTTACGGACCAAGGCAAGATAGCTCAGAATTGGCGTGAATATTAGTACTCAGCTACTTGAACGGAACCATACAAGTATTCGTCAATTCTTACCGAATGAAAACTCATCCTACATTTGAGAAGTAAGTTATTATCACCCGCACTTTTCGCATGGTTGTTGGGCAATATCTCATGCTAGGGACACAGGACTGGAGGCACATGATCGTAAGTACATGTGCTTAATTTTGTAATAGATCTTGCTAGTTCATACGTCTGATTTCAAACCGACTGACACTTCCTACTGTTATAACCATGCATCTCAAAAACCCTGCTGTCGGCATGCCCGACGAAGCACTTGTGTGCGGCCCGTTATCAGCCCCACCGCAGCGGGTGTCTCCAATCTGCAGACCCAATTTCCGAAGCCCTAACTCGTCGACCTCCATTGTGACAATTTTCAAACAACCTCACATCAATCAAATCACGGAAGGGTGGCCGAGTTGGTTATGGCGCCAGGTTAAGGTCAGCTTAACATCTGTTTCCTGGTGGGGCAACCCGCGCGAGTTCGAGTCTCGTCCCTTTCATTTTGCCGTTTTGTCGGTGTAGAACAGCTCAGGCATCGCGTTTCATTGGTAGTAGAGACGAATGACTTACTGTTGATCTGTTCAAGATGGTCATATCCCGGCATGAGCACGTGGTTGAGTCTGGTTCGCTATACCTACACATAGCTTGATGGCACTTGAATGCGGGACACCACCTCGAAGTAAAAGACAATGTATCGTGTTTTGATGTACTCGTTAGGTTCATCAGCACCATGTGATAATTTGCACACTTTGATTCCTTCATTCATCATCCTTCGACCGGCCCCCCTTGGTATAAAACGCACCCGTTGCGGCTCTGATGTCCTCGGAGCCCTGGGTCCCTCCTCGTCCTCCAGGCTTGCCCGTCACCGACTGAGGAATTTCGTGGCCGGTCGCACTGATACCCTCGCCAACTCCGGAAGGTCTTCCCTCGTTGGTGTTCAATGCATTGTCTGCGGCGCCGTGAAGAGTTGTAGACCCAAGCCCACCGGCAGCTGATTCTTGCTGGTGGGGATTGGGAACAGATTTGATGATGTTTTGCTTGCCAGCATCTCCAGGAACTGCCACCGACAGTTAGTGAAGCTTCATGGATAAAATTCAGTGTAAAAGATGATAAAAACCTTTAGTTCCGTCCTTCGCCATGTCGTAGAGATCACCTCCTTGCTTTGCGTCTGCCATGGTATCAAATGTATCACGGAAATCTGATGGTTTGAAATATGCTGGTAGTATGTGTGAGCGTAAATGTCGCAAGATAGAAGTAAAGAATTGTTCGAAGGACGAATGTGGATTGGAACTGAGAGGCCATTCAAGCGCTTTAAGATGGTGCTGAGCAAGCCACAATGAGGTAGTTCGGTGGTTGATGTCATGATGTCATCAAAGTCAATTCATCACCATCATCTCTCTGAACGTGACGTCAAACAAGACAGATTGTCAAAGGACCATTACTTCAGATGATAGATGGTGAAACCTATCGAATTATCTAGCCATATTTGAGAAAAGCTAAGACCGCGGAGGTAGATTCTTCTGTTCTATCCGGTTTTTCATAGGACCCAGGCTACGATGTACAGCTAGTCGGCAGCTTCATCTATTGCTGCGGAACGAGACTTCTATACTTTCTCTCAATTCATCTATTGCATGGAATCGATCTCATAGTCAGCAAGGCACAACTCTGTTAAAGCTTCATGATGACCCCAGGCAGTTGTTGCAAGCGGAAGGCCCGAAGCCGAGCGACATATTCCCTTCCCCCTGGTGCACAACGTTCCAAAACATCATTGAAGTTTCCAGTTCAAATGGTTTAAACACAGGTATTCTGTAGGTATTGGGGTATTCTATTAAGCTTATATACTGTTTATGGTTGCTCATACCATCCACACCCATCATCATACATCTTGATTGTTCATAATATTAATACATGAGCATTCCACATGACCGTCTCCCACTGCTGAAAGAGTGACAACATGACTCTTGTAACAGCCATTACCCCTTCATCTTTGTATATAGACATTAGTCGTCATGCTCGGCTTCCTTGACTCCCTGGTTGTTCAAAACCGGCTGATCCCGGTCCAACTCATACATCTTGTCCTCCTCAGCATCGTAGTGGCGGAAGGTGAAGTAGAAGATGCACCCCACCACGGCAGATGAGCATGCAACACCGGTGTACATCCACAAGAACTTGGGGTCGACTGCGACGGACACCAGGGCCTCGGAGATGGCAGAACCGAAGGCGTTGGTGAAGAGGTAGATACTCTGGACAAAGGACTTCATGTTGGGCGGGGCCTTGGTGTAAGCGTACTCGAGACCAGTGACGGAGATGAAGATCTCGGACAAGCCGATGAAGATGTAAGCAGGCGTCTGAACGGCGATGTGGACGTGGTTGGGGAGCGATGAGCCTCCGCTCATTCCCTCAGGGCACTCGCCGGGAGACTCGTAGCAGGGACCGGCACTGTAAATGAGGTGTTGCACGATAGCTGCGTAGGCCAGGCAGATGGCGCCGAGCCAGAAACCAATGGTGATACGCATGATGGGCTTGAGCTCGATGCCAGCCTTACGGAGGAGTGGGTAGACAATCTTCTCGAGGATCGGAGTGAAGATGAGAATCGAAATGGGGTCGAAGTTTTGCATGAAATCGTTCGGCATGCCGTGTCCCTCCATCTGTCCAGCTTGAGTGACGAAGTTGGTCGAGAATTGGCCGTAGCAAACCCAGAAGATGGGGTCTGTTGATGGTGTTAGTGCGACACAAGCATTTGACTAGGGGCCAAACACGGCCCGGACTATTTCGGACTTACAGAAGACGAAGACCTTGCAGGCTCTCAGAGCACGCTTGAGCTCCTCGACGAAGTGGTCGTTCCAGGGGACAGGCTTCTCCTTGCCGTGCTCCGCACGCCATGATGGCTTGGCGGCATCCATGTTGCGAGCTGCAATCATCATACCAAGGGCCTTGAAAGCATCGGTAATGACGGATCCCTGAGGCGGGCGGTTGACAAAAGTCTTGCGACGAAGCACCAGTGTCGCGATACCGATGTTGAAGACGCAGAAGCACATCAAGTAGGCGGTCCAGAAACCCTTATACTTCTCCATAAAGGGAGTCGCCATAAGAGACAGGGAACCCAAGTTGATGCACCAATAGAAGATCATGTAGATGCGCTGGTATGTGATGGCAGGATCGATGATGACTCTCTCGCCGTTTGACTCGGTCTTGATAGCCATAACGCGGCGCTGGTACTGATCGGCGATCAGGGGAGCAATGTTACTCTTGATACCTCCCGTTCCGAGACCAATAACGATAATGGCAACAATGTAACCGGGGATGCCAGCGCCATTGGCCATGGCCGCTGGCAAGGAGGTCGTCCAAAGGATGACAAGACCAACCCAGTAGAAGGCACAGAAGACCAAGATGGTCTTGTACTTGCCCAAGTACTGGTCAGCAATGATGGCACCAAGAATTGGAGTCACTGAATTCTTGTGTTAGTGAAACCATACTGATCGATAGTAGCGAGTGAAGCGGACAGTGATGTCATACCATAGCAGAACCATTGGAAGAACAAGTTCAGACCAGTTGCGGCCTGGTGACCCATTCCAAGACCCTTGGGGCCGTCAGCTCCATTGGGGTCATTGTTGATGTAGTTTTGGAAGAGACCCTGGGCACCATAGTAGGTGAATCGCTCCGTGAGCTCGACAACAGCAATGAGGAAGGCTGAAGCAGGGAGGTTCTCTCCAACACGACGCAGGGATCCCTTCTCAAACTCATTGGGCTCAGCACCATCAGGCGTAGGTCCCGATTCTGAGTCGGCGGCGCTTGAGAACTTCTTCTCGGGGTCGGCTGGCGTGATGTAGCCCCCCGCGAGATCAGTCGTCTCCTTGTTGGGCAAGCGCTCACCCAACGTCTCATGGAGCCTGCGAATACGACTTGTCAGTGCCAGATCCTCTTGATGTTAGACCGACGATATGCGCATTGTTACGTACTCTGCGGCCGTGTCCTCGTGGTTCTGGGCCATTTTTACGCAATCGATATCTCAAGACAGGCCCGATAGAGTAGTTGAACCAAGGGAAAAGGAAAGGAGAGGGAGAAGAGGAAGAAATTTTCGAGAAAAGTTCCAAAAGCCTGGTCTGGTGGGGAGCAATGGAGACACATTAGTATCACCACTAGATGCATGCCCTTACCCTCGGTGTCGGACGACTCCGAGGTGTTCGCCGCCCGCGGCCCATGTTTCGATGTCTTCTGTTTCCACTAGAAAAGTCTTGCCCGAGTCGGGAACGTCGCCCCAGGAACTTTTGCAACCACACGCCACAAGCCGATGGCCGAACCACCTGCCGGACTCCACTCGGCCGAGTGAGCCGATCTTTTTGATTGATAATAACGGACACATCGGTCGACATACGAGGAAATAAGTGGCCCTCTTGGCAAAAGGCCCGAACGGGTGGCGCCAAGCGAGGTTAAGGGGAATAAAGCGGTCATAAATATGGCTTTCCTATTGGCCTTTGACCTCATCGATGATATTAGTTCATGCTGCCCATACCGAGGTCCATCAACAAAAGGGCCTTGAATCTGGGGTTTGGGGGTTCTACAACGTTACTCCGCAAACGATGGTCTACGGATAAGACTGAATCATGCAGCTGGTGAGGAAGCTACCGCTAGCTGCAGGAACCGGATCGTTTGTCAACGGAAATCTTCTGTAACCTTCCCTCGTCGGAAATGATTCGCAGCTGTGCGTTGTCTGTCTTACTTTCTTGCCGTTGAGCCGGGCGTTAGTTCGACCGCATTTGGTAGCTTGAGCCAACTTGAGTATTCGCCAGTGTCACCTTACCACTATCTCTGCTGACATCACGCATATTTATCAGGCGACATTCGGGTGTGTCAAATGCACGGCTCTTTTGTGACGCTCTGCGACTGGAGGCGCATTCTTATATGCGAGGGACTTTCGAAGCTCTCACTCTCGATTGCTTTGGCAGTTTCTCTCCTGTTCACCACTCCTTGCAAAATTTTCTCCATTCTCCACGAGTGGGTCAAGTGTCAAATCTCGCTGCATTGAGACTCAAAGGTAACCTAATCAGAAACACGTGTCTAGTGGACCATAGGAACCAAAGCCACGCGCGAAGAATAATAGTCAATTGTGCTCCGTACTGAGCCAGAAATGTCACAGCGAATTTAAGGTCTGGATGCTTGAGGAAATCTGCCCAGGCGGAAATATCCTTGGGGATGAAGAAGATGGCCCATGGGTCGCACGTGCGATGGGCCTACTCACCTCTCAAGTCTATTTTGTGGCTTACCCAGTCTTTCCGATTTCCGGCCTTTTTTTTGTGGGAATTAGATTATTCTTCGCTGTGGCTATACATTGCGATGACTTGGAAGTGTATGACTTTTCAACAAGCGGCTCCCAAGTAGACTTCATCTAGAATTACTGATAAAATATGGGAGTTCTTGGAGACACAAAGACCTACTCAGCAACCTGGTTTTTTTGTCGGGCATGCCCGGATCGTCTAGCTTCCATGAAAAGATTTTACCATATATGACAATCGATTGATCGATGTGAATGTTCTTTGAATATTAATTGAGATAATCCGCATCTTACCAGCTTACCAGCTTACCGATCTTCTATCAGCCGGAATATTCCCCGAGCCAAGAGATCGAGGCTGAGAACGGGCGGCATGGGCCGCAGCCTTCGATGCAGGAGCAGGGAAGCGACTGGCGGGGCCTTGGCAGCACGCCATAGGAATTCGGCCGAATGCACGTCTAACCGAGTGACCGGACATTTACGATCTCCCTCCACTCCAAGAAAGTCAAAAGTCGGGGGCAATCTGGGGAAGGTGCCAATCAGGGCGGCTTATGAGCCCGATGTTCGTGAGAATGGTGGGTGGATACACCGTTCGTGGCCTTGAATAGAAATTGAGACCAGTGGTCCTGGCCTTGTTTGGTCATAGATTGCGGACGTTTAAACTTGAGCTGCTAGCGAGTATGATCCTGTGCCTGAATCAGCTTCGAATGATTTGCCCCTTTTGACTCGGTTCTACTCTTAATAGGTAGAGAAAGCGCACTAGTTTTATGACCGCCTGACTTCTAAGACTTTGGGTTACTTCGATGCTTGCAGGAAAACACGATGCGACACTAAACAAGTAGGAAGACCACTCTTCCAAACCAGCGTCGAAAAAAGGTTAGCAGCGGCAGATTGAAAATCAAATGCTACACATTACTGGAGCGAAATTGAGAATGATTTGGAAATGGTTGTGACTCTTTCAGTTGTTGTCAAACGCGATGACTACTAATTTGACAGCGA